GGATCACTAGTTGTGATTTTTATAACATAGTTATAGCTAGATAGTTTATATGTAGCACAAGCACTAAATTTATTTTAAATGTTCATAAATTTTTTTATTATATACATATTTTAGTATAATATTTTAATGAATCAATGGTTTTGCAAATAATATATATTGAAATTCGATCAGTCAATAAGCAAACTTAGCCTCATTTAGTCTTCCCATTTTTACCCCTATAGATATGTCTTTTGCAGCTAGGGTGGTTTGATATATTATAATCGAATGGTTAGTTCCAATATTTCTATATGATAAATGGCGCCTTATCTCTATAAAATAATAATTAATAAAATTTTATATCGAGGAAAAATTATTTTTTATGGATATAAATATCGTAATATTTTAGACGTATGTGGTTGAAATTAAAGGGTACAGAAGTCCAAGGAAACCGAAAGAGGCCAATATTTTTTTAAAAATTTATAATCGTATACAATTTCTTAAAATCTATAGTACTGAGAAAAAATAATCTGAGCACTGAAGTTTACTTCTGAGCGTTTCAAATATATTTTTCTGAACGTTTCAGTTTTATACCTGACTAATTGGCACTTTTCTCGCCAATTAAGTTTATCTGAGCATCAAGTATTTATTCTGAGATTAGATAGGATCCTTTATTTATTACTTAAAATTGATTTTAAAAAAATGAAATAGGGCACATTTAATTTAAACAGTTTAAATCTAACAGATTAAAGGGAATCTATTATGATTTCATAATATATCAAATAATTTACAAAATAGCATTTTCTATGTATAGGAATGATAATTTAAACGACACAATTAAAGCTGGAAATGATTTTAAAAAAGGTAAATCCTTTATCCAATTATGGATAATGAAAACGGCGAGATATATGTCTTTGATAGTAAAGATGCGGAAGAAAATATAAATAGCTATTGGAACGATCTCTATAATAAGTATAATTTTTATGAATTTAATATGATAAAAAATGGAGAGAAATCAAAATTACATTGATTTGGAATTTGTAAACAATTAAATATTCAATCGTATTAAATGTTACAATTAATTTTTCTAATTTTATAATCTTCAATTATGCTATGGGTATCTGTAAAAATAAATTTTTACCCTAATTATTTATACTTTTATTTACCCGGTAAAAATAAAACCTTCTAATGTATTTTTGATCATTTAATAAATTTCGGTACATTTTTAAAATAAACATGTGATTTAATAAATTTTCTGTGATTTAAATTTTAATTTATTTTAATTTGTGGATTATTAACCAATTTAATGGATGTATAATGAGCATAAAAATGGCATTTTAAGCTTACATTCAAATATGCACCCGTTTAACCGAGTAATGGTTTTTACATCATATATCATGTTATTGTTAATAAAATTGGATCCATTAAAATATAAATTATATTTATTACCTATAAACTTAAAATTTTATAATTATTGTTATATAAATTTGAGATTTTAGATAAAATAAGCAATAAAAAAAAAATTAAAACTCTCTAAGGTATGTAGGAAAGTGTATTGTGGTATAAGGCTAATAAAATTATAATGATTTGTTATAATTTGTCTTTTTAAATATCCTTAAAATACGTTAAATTTAAATGAAAAATTTTAAGCCCAAGCCCTTAAATTTTTTTTACAAAAGCCCAAGATCGGCCCAGGCACGCAAGAAAATATAATATTAGTATCTGACCTGAGCTGGGTATGGGCCTGGGGGTATAGGCTGACTCGTCCCATTCTCTGTTCCGAATGTTTTTTGCCCGTGGCCCGAGATTATTGATCTGATGTGTCTATTTATTTTACAATTGGTTTTGCATAGTTAATCATTTGAATTGCTAGGCTCCATTTTGTAAACTACTTATAACAAAAATATAAAAAACAAATGAATTTTATGATCCATCATATTCCAATTTTTTTAATATATTAATTGATACATTTTATTGTTTTTAAATTTTTATTCTAAGCCTGAGTTTACTATTTTTAGGTTTGTACTATTTTAAATAGGTATGTATTTTTAAATAGTATTTATTTACTACCCGATTCCCAGGTATCAGATAATAATATACAAAATGAATATAATTAGTTGATTTTGTTAGATGTTATAATATTTCAAGAGAGGCACTGGTTCCATATTTTGAATTTAGCTCAGTTTAGAGAATTACATGTATTTTATTCTGATTCAAAACACTTATGAGCTCTAAAAAAAATGCAATTTAAGGCAAAGATTCTTTGGAACGCGATTAAATTTGCCTTATATTATTATATAATATAAATTATTTATTATTGGTAAAATAAATAACAATTTAGTGCTGTAAAGTAACGTCAATGAAAGTAAAGTCGTTACTAACGGCGCTACGTTTTTAGAAGTAAAGAACGCCATAATAGTATGGGTGTAACGAGTAACGCGTTTCTATTTTTTTTTTGAGTAACGGTAACGTATTTTGAATTTTTTCTTAAAAATATAATAAAAAATATATTTTATTATATTTTTTTCGAAAATTTTATAAATAATTTAAGCAAAGCTTTTTCATTCAAACCATCAAAGATCTTAATTTTTATTTAATTTATTACATATTATTGTTGAACTTTATAAAGTCAATAATGTAGTTTATTTTATAAGAATATATGTTAATAGTATTTATTTCTTCAGATGAAGATTATTTATTATGCCCTGGCATCAGCATGAAACATTTTTTACAAAATGAAAATTCATAAATATTTAGTATTTTTTTTAAGTACCGGATAACGTTTTTGAGTAGCGAGAATGTAAATTTTTTTTCACAAATGAAGTGTAACGAAAGTAACTGTCGTAGTTTTATATATGAATTTATATTAATTTTTGCATAATGCCAATCAACGAAAAAAAGGTTGATTGGATTATAATTAACATTAAAGAAAACGTGATATAAATAATGTTTTTATAGTATTCGTATAAAATTGTAGATTATTATGATTTTTCTGATAAAAATTGATTATTAAAAAAATTATAGGATTTATTTTTTGAATATATTATTAAAAAATTATGGAATTTGTTCCGAATATATTATTATTGTAAAATTATTAGCTTTGTTTGAAGACATTTTGTATTAATAAAATATTATAATAAAAGTATCGTGTTGTTACAAAATAACTGTTCTGAAATTCCTAGAAGGGATTCTAGTTGAGTTAGTTGTCCTTAAATTGTAATTTGAGTGTAGGAAGGGATTTCAAGTAAGGGTATATATTTTTATTAGTTTTTGTAACATTTACAGAACTAATAAAACAAATATGGTGGATATTTAAAAAATAGTTTCAACTCTTTTGAGTCATTTACTCCGTATATTTTGATTTCTTCCATATGTCTTATATCTGCGCAAAGGATTTAGATATCAAAGTTAAAATATTTAATTAATTGGCTGTGTAAATTAGAAAAAATATTTGCATATATGAATGTGCAATCATAGAAACATTCCAGTTACAGCAATCCTCGATTTCCAATTTAAAATTTTACAATTTATAACATTTCTATAACAATTTACAATATAAATAGTAAAATTATCTATAAAATTAGGTTATTGTTAGAAGCAATTTCAATTGTCGAGGATTTATTTTTTTAAAAAAAAAGTAAAATTACAGTAATAAATATAATTTAAATTGTTTTAATCAATAGTTTTTACAATTATTTTTACAATTCTAAATTTTGTTGTTGATAATTCAGGAATTGAAATAAACCTATCAATTCTAAATACAACCCATATATATATAAATTTTGCCAGTTTTCTAAAATATATATTAACTTTGCCTCGGTATCTAACTACTATATAAAAAATAATTCCTTATAAAAATTATTGTATTTTCTTGATTATTCAACTCTAAAACCAAAATAATGGGGTATATAACTTATTTTTTATATTAATTATTAAACAAACTTATACTATCATCATCCAACTTTATCATTTATTTACATATACTAAAACAATGATCCAACACGCAAAAAAATATTCAATTTTAAAAAAACTAAAATAATTTTAATTAAAGTCACAATAAATGAATGTCTACAATCGTATTTGGTGGTCTTCTTGTTTCTTTTCATGTCACTTTTATATATTCTCAAATATATAACATTAACCTTTCCACCCATCTCTCTAACCCTTAATATATGACTCTAATTTTTTTACCCATCTCTCTAACCCTTAGCTAACTGTTCGCTATGATTGGCTTTAAAAAAGTGTGGGCTTCTCGGAAATCGAACCATTAATTCTTCGTTTCACTTGATATCATTCATATCTCTCAACCCACTGCAAAGATAATTTTATTTTAAATTCATCAAATGACCAATAATTTTCATTAAAACGAGTTTTCCTTTCCTAGTCTCTAACAGTAAATAACTTTAAGGAAAATTATCCATTATGTTATTCTACAATTATTGCTGCAATGACATTGTTAAACAGATTAATTTAGCCGATTTTTAAAAACGGCTAACTTAATATTTTTAGCCAGAAAAAACTTGCCTGAACCTCGAGATTTTGCTAATAGATGTTTGTAACATCTATGAGAAAAATCTTCAGGTTTGCTTAATATTTTTGTAGATAAAATATTGAGTTAGCCATTTTTAAATTCGGCTCAAAATGAGCCTTTTAACCAACACTACAAAATAGAAACGATCATACTCTAGGAAATTATATTTATTATATTTTTAAGAACACAATATAAAATAACATTTAATATAGAGATGTTCAAAAGTAGGCCCGGGCCTAATGTTGTTAAACGGCTCGATTTGAGTCGATTTTTAAATACGGCTAGCTAAATATTTTATTAGAAAAATATTATGGAGAGCCTGAAAATTTTGGTCATAGATGGCACAAATGTCTGGGCATCTATTAATCTCAAGCTTAGAATCAGCTCCACTCGAGCTGTTTAACAACAGTCGGGCCTGTTTTTCAATCCGATCCGGGTAGGGCTAAAATTTTTATTGACTTAATTTTGTGAAATAAAATAAATTCTATTCCAATTTTTTACAAGAAACAAAGAGCTAATATTTATTATTTGTTACTAGGCGATATATTTCTTTCAATTTGTGAATAAAAATTTAAATTAAATTATAAATTATACAGCTAGGCATAAAAATAAAATAATATTATGAAATATATATATTTATATAATTTTTTAGATCACCTAAATAACGAGATGTATATATGTATTCCTCATTTAGATAAGAGTAAATTTGATTACAATTTCGGAAATATATTTGACGATAAAATCAAGAACTTGATGTTCATTAAAACATACCGGGTGAGAAAATAATTTTTTGGGACGGGCTTTCCGGGACAAATAAAAAAATATTCGTTCGGGATTGAGACGGGTCGGATAAATATTTTAAATTTAAATTTCGGGCAGGGCTTGAGAAATTGGGCACATGACTAATCAAGAACAATACTAAAATAAAATACCTTTAAAAGAGTAAAAATAAAAATAAGACTATATTCCTAAAAATATAAAAAACAAGGCATTGTGAATTGTTAAAACAGTGTTGACTTAACTTGCATATCTCAATTATTTTAAAGAAGTTTCAAAAATAAAATATATAATATATAAAAATATAAAATAATTATTCATTTTTGTGTTATAATATATTGCGATTCTAATAAAAATGAGAAAATTAACAATCGTCCCTCGATCAATAAATACAGTTTGTTATAATTTAAATTTAAAACAGAGAAAAAAAATTAATAACAAATTTTCTTATGCCACTTATGCTTGTACTTGCATGAACTAGTAGTATTGGAAATAGTTGTAGTAGTAGTTGTAGTATTTGTTGTAGTGGTTATGGTGGTAGGCAAAGTAGGAGTGGTAGGCGTAGTAGGCGTAGTAGGTGTGGTATGCGTAGTAGGCGTTGTAGACGTAGTAGGTGTGGTATGCGTAGTAGGCGTGGTAGGCGTGGTAGGCGTAGTAGGTGTGGTATGCGTAGTAGGCGTGGTAGGCGTAGTAGGCGTGATAGGTTTAGTAGGCGTGGTAGACATGGTGATTTTAGTTAAAGTTCTAAAGGTCGTAGTCGTAAAAATTTTGTGTATGTAACAGCGACATTTGAATTTGTTATTTATTTTTCGGCAACACTGAACTCCTTGATGAAAAATTTTACCAGGTCCACATTTAAAAATCGGTCTCCAGGGCTTAAAGCAATCTACAAATTTTCTGTTTTATACAATGGATTATTATGCAATATATATAATTCCACATAGAACGCTTAAATATTTCAACATTTTATGCCCAAAACAATGCAGCATTTTTGGTGCGCTTTAATATTGATTTTGATATATATATATATTTTAAATATGATAAATATATTATTTCCAAGTATAATTAAATAAAATATTTGTTTTATCTTAAACAAAAATTTTGTATCATATAAGAAACATATCTCCAAAGGCGCAGCCTGGATTCTCGTAAGAGACGGGGGGGGACAACTTTTATGCGGCTTTTCTACCAATTGATTTTATTTAATGGCGCCAATTTATTGCAAGTATTTGGCCGGGTCCTTTTAAGAAATTAATAATTTAAACTTCTTTATAATTGACTTTTACATATTTAATTATTATTTTTATTGTCACATAATATTTATGAGAGACAAGATGTGGGGAAAGTGTAGGAGGATAGAAAAAATCTAAGATTGATGATAATCACGAAAAGAGACAAATTCTAGAAGGAAATAAAATGTCCCCCCGCTCTTCCTCCCTTTAGTTAGAAGTAAAGACCTAACACATCATAATTATAGTTAAAAAATAATTGGTTGTATTTCGACATAGTTTCTATATAATAGCATACAGAATGTTTGGCTAAAGCCCTAACTCCTAAAAATTCTATCACCATCCCTATCTTTCTCCACCCTTAAAGATCTGAGGCTATTTCTATCCTCTCACCCATATCCTGACTGTGTAGACACCAATAGTTACCTATTTTTTCTAATAAATTTAAAAATTATTTGAAAGAAATGTATAACCGAAAAAAGATTATCTATGACATAATTAGAAATATATATAAATTAGAAATATTATAATTCTTAAAAAAAATATAAATATAATTTAGAAAAATTATAATTTATACTTAAATCTCCTTTATAATTTAAATCGAAATGAAGTAGTATATACTAAAATGGATAATATTTCGGTCAAAGTTTTTTCTTAAACTAATTTTTAATTGATCTATTTATGTATATGTTGATATAGGTCTATGATATAATTATATAATAATTATTAGCTTATTGCAAATTATTTTCTCATTACCGACATCCTGGTAGACCCCTAAATCTTTTTCCTCTCCTATAACATATCCTGTAGGTATCATATGTGCATTTGATATCTTTCCTCCTATTGCTACCTCTTTCCTATAATAAACATTAATATATATATTTTATTATTATTTTAGTTTTAGATGCATTTAAAATGTCTACATTAAGACAAATATTCAAGAAAGAGCAAGAAACTATATTATACAATTATCTAATAAATGCATCTAAAATATTTATGGGTCTTTGTTCCGTGTAAATGCTTTTTTTTTTGGAACATGTTGCAATTTTGATCCATTCTTTATTTGTTTAAATTGTCAATAAATTTCACTAATTTTTACTAATTTCCCTTTATACCTCATTTTTCTTAAAGAAATATTTAGCAACTCAAATGAGCCTCATGGGAAAGCTCATACTTCTATGGGGAGAGCTCATTTTCTTTCAAATTCTTTTTTCGGAAAAATTATTAATGTTAAAAAAGTATAATTTTTTAAAAAATTATTTTTATGTGTAGCATAAAAGTATATATGGAATAAATTGAGATTATTTATTCAATATTATTAAGTAGTTTTAAATTTATTGAAGTTTGCCGTTTAGAGCTCACATGCACCCCGGTCTCCCCCACTGAATTGATTTATCGAAAAAAATGCATTTTGCACAAAAGTGGACATACACTATAAAACTCGGCCAATGACCAGAATACATTTCCGACATTTACCGAATTTTCATAATTGGATTTAATATTCCAACTTGTAAATAAAAAATTTTTAAATTTTTAAAAAAATGAACATTTAATTAACTTTTCTATCCCACCAATTATTTTCCCATTCCTCTCCATCAGAATTATATGAATTATCGAGGTCGTCTAAAATGCTATCCTCATCAACATCGTCTGGGTCTTTGTAATCAAATCCACGAGAATTATCCCATCTCTTTCCCTCTCCTTCTTCGTCATAATCGTCCAAAGGATTATAATCTTGTCCAAATTCTTTGCCGCGATATAAATAATCCTGCCCACTTTCTTCGCCGTTATAAAGTTCTCTGTCGCGATCAAAATGAGCTTCCCAGGGTTTTGCACCGCGATCAAAATAATTCTGACCAGGTTCTTTGCGGGAATCAAAATATTCCAGCCGAAATTCTTTGCCGTGATCGTTCTTATTATCATCTTCAATTTATTAAAAAAATAAAAGAGTGTTGGTACGTTTAGTTTACTGTTACAATAATTTTTTGATATTTAAAAAGAGCAATGGGAGTAGATGGTAAAAAGAAAAAGATGAAACAAAAATGATAACACATAAATTACCTGCAATCATATATCTAATTATGACTAAAGTTAAGAATAATAAACGAATCATCATATGGTATATTAAGTTTGATACAATGAAAATTTTATAAAATAGTATACTTTATATATATATATATATATTATATAGCTTGGTATATACCTAATAATTTAATTTGGCTTAGTATAGAATACAAAAAAAAATTTATAATCAATTTTAAACGCAAAATATTGAAATATTTACCTGTACCCTGGCCAAAATGTTAAATTTATGAATTGCAAACAGGATATAATTTTAATAAAAAAAATTTAAACATATCAATAAAGATTTATATTTGTTTTTTTATAAAATATATTATTTTTTAAATTTATAAATTTAATTAATGAAGGACCGGCCTGGTCTGGACAAGATAAAAATGGGCAGGGCTAGATAAGCCAAATTAAAATCGATATTTAGTCCGAAGCTTTTACAATTTGTCTCCTCTTTCCAGTTTTTGCAACTTCCGTTTTTTCGGTCCGAATCTTTAAAAAAAAAATCTAAATGCTAAATATTTTATGAAATATTTATTTATGAAATTTCTAGTATTCTTTTATATTAATTATAAATGTTTTGCAATTATATTAATAAAAATAGGTTTAATTTAATACTATTATTATTTGTTTTAAGTAAAAATTATCGACACTTAGCAAGTAGAAAATGAGAAGAAAGAAAAAGGACATTCAAAATTTTATATTTATTCTGGAATGATCCAGAGGGGACGGGACACCTTGAGTACAGGGAAATTATGTTAAGTTAAAATTTCATATCGAAATGCTTGAAATTAATAGGATAGATGTTCCAAAAATGATGAAATACTTTTCCAATAAAATGTTTTAACGCGCTTAAAAAAATGATTTAAAGTTGAAAAAATTAATTACACATTCCCGGGAAAAAACATACAAACGCTAAATTTGGTGGCAATTCTAAAAATTTATATCTATATTTTCTTACATATTATCAGAGACCTGCAGGCCCGGCCCTAAACCCGGCCCGGGCCAGGCCGTATTTTAAATTTTTTAAATATACCCGGGCCGGGCCTAAAAATTTTTTTTAAACATATCCGGGCCGGGCCTAAAAATTTTTTTTTAAAATATAGGGCCGGGCCTAAGATTGTCAAACCCGGGCCGGGCCTAAGATTGTCAAACCCGGGCCGGGCCGGGCCTTAATATTTTTTATAAAAATTTTTACATTATGAGTTAATGGTTATAAGATTATATTATATTATAGTTATGATTAATATAATATTGGGTGATGGTTAACACTACCTAACACCCACAGATCGATCTAATTATTAATTTCCTGCAAATTTATTCAAAGTATTAATATATTTTTTTACAATTCATATCTAAATTTTTACAACATATTTTACCAAAACAATCAAATAAAGGAATATCTTAAATAAGCCCCAATACTCAAGTATTATTAATATATTTTTTTATAATTCATATCTAAATTTTTAGAATATATTTTACCAAAACAATCAAATAAAGGAATATCACTTCTTGAAGTTTGTAATACCTTTCAAAGCAAAAAAGGAGAAATAAAATTGATTTTACTTAATATAAAGCATTTTTTAATTGAAAAATTTGTTTTACACAAGTATCATTTTATTTCTCTTTTTCTCTGTCCCAAATTCAAGCAATTACGTATGTTGTCAGGAACAGATCGCAAGATGACCGAAAACTATATAAAAGATTATATTAAATTACAAGAGGCTCAGGAAGTAAATGAAATACCATCGACCAGTCAAATTAGGATTGTTGTTAACAAACTGAATCGTTTTATGACAAATGGGGCGATGGTAATTCTGGTAATATGTCAATACCCGATGATGAATATTATAATTACATAAATAAAAAAATAGATGAAATATTTAAGGTGGATAATTTGTTAGAGTGGTGGGCGGCTCATCAAAGAGAATTTCCACTTTTAGCAAAATTGGCAAAACGGGTATTGGCAATTCCTGCTTCAAGTGCAAGCTGTGAGCGGAATTTTTCCATTACTGGGAGAATTCTTGAAGAAAGAAGAAGTAATCTTCAACCTGAAAAGGTAGATATGCTTCTCTTTCTTCATGATAATTTGTGAATTTTTAATATCTTTCTTGAGTATAGGGTTTCGTCAATCATGCTGGTTTTTTACTTTGCAAACTGTCAAATATTTATTGCATTTTTTATATTTACCTTGAGTCATGAAAGTTTTTAATCCAACATTTTTCATTATTTTTTTTTACAATATTATATAATACAATTATCTTCTTTTGTTAAAAATTTATATTATAAAATAAATTATATTAATAAATACTATTTATTATACATGCATTTTTTTAAATAGCGATTTATTTTTATTTTATAAATAGTAAATTAAATACAATATATTATATCAAAATATTTTCCATTTTTATAAAATAAATATTAGTTTTATTTTTTTTAAATGCAATATAAAATATAGTATATGCTCAAAATATTATTACCATTTTTATGAATATTAGTTTTATTTTTATAAATGCAATATAAAATATAATATATGCTCAAAATATCCATTTTTATAAATAACAGTTATAATTTTTATAAATTCAATATAATATTCTCAAAATAATAGCTTTTTACATGTATTTTTTAAATAATAAGCGATAATACTCGCTGAAAAATATGGTAAAATACCTCATGGGTGAATTTTTGTATATACCAGGTCGAATATAATTTTAAAAAATATCCGGGCCGGGCCTTAAATTTTTAAATCCGGACCGGGCCGTAAAAATTTTTTTTAAAAAATATCCGGGCCGGGCCTAAAAAATTTAAAATTGGGCCAGGCCGTGCAAATGGTACCTCTGCAGGTCTCTGCATATTATATTTAAAAAATTTGAATTAGTTTTAAGCGAATTTGATGGGGATTCCAAAGATGTAAAGATATCAATATTAATTTATTAAATAAACTTGTTCATTTTCTTGCTTATAATGATTGCTTGCTTAAAATACTATAAGTTTTTATAAACAAAATTATTTTCTATAATGAATAAAAAAAACTTATCAAAAACAACCTATCCTAAAACGGGCTTACATTTCTCAATACGAGTAATTGTCCAAATACCTTTATCAATATCCCTCCCCCCTTCCCCACCCTATCCTAATGACTATTGCCACTTTACAAACTTCCTTCTTCAATTTTAATGCCTATTAGAGATTTATATGTTAAAACCCAGGCTGGGTTAAAAGAAAATTCGGTCAAACTTGGTCGGGTTTAATATATTTTTTATAAAATTAGAGCCAGGCCATTAAAATTTTTAAATATAACATCATTCAATTTAGTGAAATAAATTGATATATTGTAAAAATTACAAGAAACAAGGTATTAATAATATTTATTTGTAAGAATAATATTTTTACAATTAAAAAAATAAATATTAAATCTATATTTATCTGGAAGAGCTGACAAGCCTCGGGTGGGATAAATAAAAAAAATGTTTTGTTCAAAATTCGGGTCGGGTCTGGCTGGGTTTGAAAAATTAAGCTCGGTACAGATATGTAATATCTTTTGTTATACCATTCCCCCTCCATGGTAATTGATATTGTCATAATAAATATTTATACAAAATAAAATTATATTTTGCGCATGGCCCTCAAATGTTGGATCGAGCTCTATTCCTCATTTTACATCTAATTAGAATCATTAAATAGTAAGTGACTTAGAATAAGATGGATACATGGGTAAAGGACCAATACAACCTTCATCCATGAATTTTAATAAATTTAATTATTTTAAAAGGGGTTGGGTAGATATAAACTACTAAGCTAAATTTTAATGATTATAGGTCATACAATGTGAGTATCCTATCATCAAGTATTTATTTTGCTAACGAAATCTTGGTTTGAGAAATTACTTGAGGTTCCTGTGAAGTATCGCCTTTTAATTTTAAATAAATTTTTGATTGATTTTTCACTAATGTTTAGTTTAATAAAATATCTCATAATTAATATTTAGCTCCTTCACATCTCTAATCCATTTCTAAAACCATAACGATTTATATTTACTATATTGTTTTCCTTTGACGGAGATAGCCGTAATTTAAAAATATATTATTTATCATGGTATTCGATATATTAACAACCAACAAACGCCAGTCTCTTTTTCAACCTACAGGATATTTATTGTAAATAAATAAATATATCTATTAAATATACTTTACAAATAGTATAATTATTTAAAAAAATAATTGTGTATAATTTATTTTTTAAAACTGAATTAAAATTGCGTTAAATTAGTTTTATAACTATTTAAATAAAAAGTTCTTTATTAAAAAATAAATTTCTATACTAAAATTTTCACACTAGAAAATAATAATTACTCAAATGAATGAATTGAAGATGGTTTCTGGTTTCTTCATAACTAAATCTGAAAGAATTGGATTTTGCTATATTTCCCTTGTTTTAACAGTTCTAGGGATGGTAGGAAATATTCTAATGTTTTTGAGTTTCAACGGTTCAAGAAAGAAAAGTTGTGGGAAAGAACGAATCAAAGAAGCTATAGTGACTCAGGATTCAACTAGTAAATACAATAAAAAAATACCTGTCATTGTTGATTTTAAGGAAGATAAATTAGGAGAGGACTTTAAAAAAAACGAAAAAGGAATAAAGGTTGAAGAATCTCAGAGGAAAAATCAACAGTCTGATAATAGCAAAACATTAAAATCATCCAATTTGCACTATTTCTTGAGTATTTTACACATAGTATCCAAGATTTATACTTTTGCTCGAAAAATATTTAACAAAAACAAAGGTCAGGCCACTGTCACTACTTTATTCGCCGAGACGCTGTCGGTCAATAATTTCCTATTTTGCTTTACCCTCATCCCTTGGCCGTTGTTATATTATTGGGGGGCCTATAATCAATCTCAATTTTGGAGATCTAAATATTATAATTTATTTATGAGTAACTTAGAATTCCCTCTAAGAAATGTTTGTTTGAAAATATCAATAGGAATCACATTGGCCATGACAGTGGATAGATTCATAGCCCTGAAGATACCTTTAAGATATAAATCGCTATCTACACTTAAAAATTGCAAGATAAGTTTGATAATCATAACTCTAGTTTCTATTGTCACAGAAAGTAGAACGATACTTTGGTACCGCACGGC